TTGAGTCCTGAGTCAGAAAGAAATGTAGCATGGCAGGAGTTGCCAGTGGCTGGAGCTGCTGCGTAGCTCTCTCCATGCCCACAAAACTGAGGCAGAAAATTCAATCGGTGCACCTAGAAAAGCCCAAGAAGCTCCTGCTTACTCCAGATGCATCTTGGCAGGCTCCTCTCCCATCCTGCAGTGGCTGCTTGCACCAGGAGAGGTAGATGTGTCCCCTGAGCAGGACTGTAACTGATCCCGGGCTCCTCTCCCTGCTGCCTGCTTGGCAGACCTGGCTTGAGGCTTCTGCCCAGGCACTCATAACCTCGTCTCTCCCTGACTCCTGGTTCCTACTGCAGTTTGTGGTGGAAGAAGGGACTCTTAGGGCTGAGCAGCAGAGATTTGCCACAGCAGTCTTTATCCCTCTATACATTTCACAGCCTCTGCATCTTCCATTATATCGGCAGTGGGGGGACACACCCTGCTCATTCCTGCCCCCATTCAGACCCAAGCTCTTTGCCAGTTGTGAAGCCCTCCTGAGCTCTCCCTTCTCCCCAGCCCTCCCGGTGGGACCACGCTGGGTTGTTTCCATCACGCGGCTCTGCACACAGAGCCCAGCCTGTCCCTGCATGTTGCTTTCCTCTTGCCTCGCTGTGCTCCAGCCCCTGCACCAGCAGCCGGCTCCCAGCTGAGGAGCAGTGAAAGCCGGTATGGCCGGACATGACCTTAACCTGGGCTTTATTTAGCGCCTTGATTTATAGAGGAGTTATTTTAAAAGCGTGTTTCTGTTTTGGGAGGTGTGGTGAGCGTCTGGCAGAGCGGTGGCAGTGAGCTGGAGTTCATAGGTCCTCCCGTGCTATTGACAAAGAACCATTTGAGTCCCCAGACACATTTTGCTTGGGGAGATGCTCTCTGCCTTGGTTGGAAAGCGCTCCTGTTTGCCTTTGCGCTGGGTGGCTGAAAAGGAGCAAGTGTCCAGGACCTTTCCCGTGAGGGGGATGTGGCAATACTGTTGGAGGGAAGGAACCCTGAGACTTGCATTCCCTGGAGGGGGCTGCTTTCTCCAGGAGGCTTCTGTGCTCTGCCAGCTCCTGGGGGCTGCTGTGGGCTAGCTGCACAGGCGGGCATGGGCTGAAGTGGAAGGGAGCTGGGGCAGGAGTGCCTTCTCCTTGGATCCTTGCTGGCTTTAGTTTGTTCTCCTCCTCTCTGCTCGCTGGGTTGCAGAGGTTTCTCCTTGTGCCTGCTGGGGGTTGCATTGCCTGCTTGATGTGGTTTGTAGGTAGGATGGACTCTAGACTTCAGGTTTATCAGCCTCTGGAGCGCAGGATGCTATCCCCTTCTCTCGAGTTGGTTCATGTGAGTTTTCTGTGCCTCCAAACCACATCTTCTCTGCATGGCCGGCGCTGCCCACAGGCTAGATGTGTGAGGCTGGCCATCTGCGCTCCTGCATTAAACAGCAGGACCATGCGGCCTCTTGCAGCCCTTGCTGAGGCACTTTCCTCAGGCCACTCTGCAATCTGAGAAGTTAATTAGTACAAATAAGCAGCCCCATCCCTAGAACTGTGAGTTGGTTTAATGAGTTCATGATCGGAGGCGAATCCGCTGCTGTTGCAGGCTCCAAGCTCTGCCATGTTTCACCCTCTGTGTTTCACGGTGGCTTCTGAGCCCCTGAGGCTCTGCCATGCTTCATCCTCCACCCAGGCAGGACCCAGCCCTGGGAGACTGGTGGGAAAAGTGGCATAGCCTCCGTGTTAATCTGCAGCACAGGAAGGCTCCATCCATCCTTGTTCTGCAGCTGCCTAAGGATGCTGGTGGTACAATCATGGGCGTCACGATGCGATGTGTGAATTTGCTCCTGTGTTGAGGGCTTTTCATATGGAATTAGCAGAGATTGGTGAAAACATGTCCTCTTTCTACCAAACTGTAGGGGTTGAAACCTTCTCTCTGTTCCTTCAAAGCCTGCACAGCTCTCATGGCTAGTCTAGCCAGAGAGAGATAAAGCCTTTCTGCTAAGGAGTGCACTGTTAGCACCGCACGCTACAATGGCTACAGGCTATGGTTATTCTGTATTTTACTAAAGGAAGGATAATATACGACTTGGTTTATTTTAACCATGTAAAGGATTTTTGATTCGGTGCCAATGTTAATAATTGTCTTGTGAAGGCTTTGCTAAGGCATCAGGAATGGTGTGAGAACCTTAGAGCGATGCACTGACTCATGTGCAAATATTTTCACTTCTTTGTCTCACTTGCAATAGTAAACTTAACAAATTTCATTTGGGGGGGGGGATTGATATCTGAAAGAATTTTGCTCAAGCAGGGCATGGGGGCAGAAGATGGCACAGAACCAACCCCAGCTGGTTTTGGCTGAGACTTTGAACCTGTGGAGGGTCAGATAGAAATTGTTGCCAAATGCTACCAGCAGTAACGCTGCTTTGATAGTGTGTCCAAGCGCCTGGCTGGGCTCTCTGTGGTGGCTGGTGCTGGGTGGGAGAGCACCTGTGTCAAGGCCAGTTTTATCTGACAAGGGCACAGACGCTTGCTGGGATGGGTTGGTGTCAGCAGAGGTTACTGGAGCTCGCCTTCAGCTGGCTGCGCTTGGCCTCTCTCTGTCATTTCACAAGAGCATGGGAGAGGAATGATGTGTAACGTTCAGCGTGCTATATCAATATTTAGCAATATTATTAATATATCCAATTGTGAGAGGCTGCATGTTGGGTTTGGTACGTATTTCCCCACCCTATAGCCCCCTCCATGCCTTTTTTAGCAGGTCCAGGATACCACGTAGAGGGAACATTTCTTATTTAGGCTGTCCTTTTGGGTCCATATAACTCATCCCACAGTTTCTATCGGTCTGCTTTCTCTTCTTAGATTTCCTGAACTCTGCTGAGTCCTCCCCTCACACCCTGCGTGGGGGTGGTCTTGACCAGAACTGTGCAGAGAGCTGCAGGCTGTCAGCTCTTGGCAGTTTGCTCTTGACCTCCACCTCTACCTCTAGTAGAAGACTTTCTCTGAAGGCCTGTTCCTGCAGAGAGGAAGTGCCTGGAAACTTCCAGCTTTCCATTTCAATTAATGGAATAAAAGTTGGGGGTTTACATCATTCTCTTTTGAGTGGAAAGAAACTTGTTCAAAACAGCCTTCTCCTCCCATTTAGGATTGGGGTTAAATGCTCGGTCCTAGCATTCAACTTGGGTTAAGAATATGAAAAATAGCTCCTTAACCTGTGTTTATCTGGTTGCGCTGACCTTGAGGGGTGTTGCAGGAGGCAGCTAGCTGGTTTCTCAGAAAAGCTGCAAGCATTTTAGGAGCATGTTGCCATTTAGCCTTCCTTGTTGCTGACATCAGGAGAAACAGCAGGAAAGGTAATAAAGCAGTGCTGTGCCACGGGCAGTGTGTGGTTTGCCTGTCACCTGTGTTCTGCCACCTCGGCGCAGGCAGGGATTGGGGAGGCACTGCCTGGGCATCCTCATCTCTCCTGTGCAATCCTGCCCTACAGGAAGGCTTTACAACAGAGCAGGGAGTTTATATTGCGCTTAAAACATCCAACCCTCTAAAGGAGGAATTTAAAGGTCGTTGAGCCGAGTAGCTCTGAGAGACAAGACAACTTGTGTGAGGAGCATCATCTCTGCCGTGGCTGCAGGTTGGTTCAGGCTTGCTCTGAGACTGTTGCATTTTCTCAAGCCAGTGGAGGTATCTGGAGCCATGAATGTATGCTCCCTTGGAGTGGAACCAATAAAACGGTTTGCTTCCTCCTGGTCCCTTCATCCTGCTGTTCCCTGGTGGCAGCGTAAGCTGTTGTGGCACTGCTTTGTTTAACTTTCTCACCTCAGTCCCACAGCAAGATTAGGAATGTTTTCAGGCATGTCCATGCAGCTGTTCCTGTTCTGCAGGAGGCTGTAGGGCTTCTGGGCCACTGGCTGAAATGCTTTTCTTGTCTCTAGTGAAGGGAGGTGGATTTAGATCAGATGAGGATCTGGCCAGACACCTGAGTAAACTTTCATTTGGTTATGTAGCACAACTCACTCCCACTGGCTGTAAGCTAGCCAGAAGGGTCCCCTCTAAAATAGAAGGGAAAGGGAGGGATGCTGATCTCTGCAGATGTGTACAGATTATTTTATTATTATTATTTTTTTTTTTTTTTTTTTGGCAAGCTGTCTTGATTTACACCCATGCAATAAATCAGAGTTTGGGTTCTAGCATTGGAATTGGCCCTGACACCTTGGGCTGGCTCTGGCTGGCAGGTGGACATAGGGAAGCCATTGCCTCGGATCCCTGGGCAGGGAACGGGCGTCCTATGTATCGCTGCATGTGCTCAGGCACCAAAGACAACCCTGTTCACACGCAGTCTGTGGATCCTGTTGTGAGGCATCTCTCACTCCAGAAAATTCCTGGCTCCCGGAGTGAGCCTTTCATGAGAGGCAAACAACTTTGAATAATGAGGAATCGCAGTGGTGAGCGGCTTTCCCCGGTACCAAACGGCTCCGGAAGCTCATCCTGCGTGGGGACTGCAGAGCACAGCAGGCTGAGGAGCTTCAGCACAACTGGTGTCCCCGTGTCTCCCCTTAGCCCACTGAAGAGTGTAACACTGAGCTTTAATGTACCCAAGTGCTGGCTGGCATCTCTAGCCCCGGGTGTCCGAAACACGGGGGCCGCCGATCCGTCCACCCCATGATACTCTCTCTCGCTCGCACGCACTCACGTGCTGCGGCAATGGTTTAATAGCAGCCCCACCCAGCGCAGTCAGGAGAAGGACTTGCTGTGTAAGCAAAAGCTGGGAAATCTCGCCGCTGTGCGCAGCACTCTGCGAGCACTCCACTCGCATTTTGGGAGAGATTTATTATTTTTTTTTGTTTTGTTTACCTGGAATCACCGGTGCCAAAAGAAACTAGAAAGGACAGCACTTTGCTCCTTTGATCCTCTCTCCTCCTGCATTCGGAAATGGCTGCGCTCCTGGGCGTAGGGCTCGACAGGGCACTGGAGTGTATTGTGCCGTGGTACCGCTAATGCTTTCTCTCTTGGCAGGACTCGGAGTCGCTGGACGGTTGCATTCAGAGTACGTTATCAGCACTCTACCCTCCGTTTGAGGCTACCGCAGCCACTGTTCTGTGCCAAGTTTTTGATGTGGCGGAGAAGACGTACCGTGGGGATGGACTGCGCTACCTCATAGACTTCCTGATTCCAGCCAAGCACATCCTGCAGTGCATTCAGACGGATTTTTAGGATGCCTGTGTGAGTACATCATGCTCTCTAAGGCCTGCGAAGGCTTTCTTGGGGAACTTGCTTTCTTCTCTCGTATGTAAAACAGCTGGCAAAAAGCGCGTGCATGTGTACGGCAGCCTAGGTGGGGAGGGCAGGCAGACAATTAGGAAACAGTTGGAAAATTGTTATTGAAGCTTAATCGTGCAGAGATCAGATGTGGAACGGTGCCCTCGCCTTCCATAACCTGCGACACCAAACTAGAAGGCTTCAAGGGTTCGGAGGGGGAGATTTAGCAAAGCCTTTGCAACCTGTTTGCTGGGTATGGCTGACTTGGGTGGCTTCTAACCCCAGCCATTCCCTGGCCCTGTGGATGAAGCTTGTCGGGCTCCTGCCACTGGCAGGAGGATGTGCGGGGCAAAATGCTGCCAGTCAGTGTTTTTCCCAGAACTCCGGCTCCCCTTTGATGGTTGCTGGAACAGTCGCAAGGCTCAGTAGCCCTGAGGAGTCACGTTACATTTACTGCCAGAACGAGTCCAAGATTAACGTGCTTTGCTGTTGGGAGTCTAAAATGTTAGAAACTATGAGTCAAATGCCTCCATCACAAACTTGGCTGAAAGTTTGCAAGATGGGGGAAAAAAAAACCCAACAACCTAAAACTAGAGTTTGTTCTAGCCTTTTTCTTTCTAAACCTAGAGGGTGTGTGCAGCCAGGCTTTTGGTAGAAGTCCTCGTGGTGGAGGGCAAGGGACTTCTGGGAGGAGGAAAAATATTCGATAGAAGCTGAAACGGCGAGTTCCTCGTTTGTCTCAAGGAGGTGAAATGCTGGGGGGAAACACCCATCACATACGACGGATCCATGAAACAACCCCTGGGAGCTGGTCACCTTGCAAAGGTGTTTTGTTGCTGTGTTTGTCCTGCCGCATTGTCACCGGCCTCCAGCGTGGTGACAGCCGTGTCTCTGTGAGCAGGCACAGAACGATCCGAAGTCGTGCATACAGATTTTGGGGAGCTGCTCTCTCTCACCCTGAATGCTCCGATGGGAATTATTCCCTCGGTTTATCTAGCTGCAGTTTCTAATGAGATGGTACATAGCGTGGTTTCCCCTTTAAAGAAACAAAAGGCTTTTAGTTTGTACAAACCGGTAATTACTGCAAGACTTTTCATGGCTTTCCCCAAACCGCCTCCCTCACCGAAGGAGGCGAGGTAGCAATTTCCTCACTCCCTGAGATCTCGGCAGCTTCCCAGCACCCGGCGGTGGCCCGGGCAGGTGAGGTGGCGGAGGGGAGGGAAGGAGAGCAGCCTGCCTTGCCAGAGGAGCCCGCCGCTCAGCATGGCCCTGCGCCCCGGTGCGGCCCTCTGTCCGCCATGGCCCACGCAGAGCCCGGCCCACAGGGCTGCTCTCCCAAAGAGGGACGTCTTTGGGGCAGCGACAGGGCGGCCTGCAGGAAGGGGTGCCTGCAAGGGGGGTCTGCTGGGCACTGAAGGGGAGGATGTCCCCCCCTGGGCAGCCGGGCAGGGGCTGGCGAGGCCATGCAGCCACCACGGGCCATGGCTGCCTGCGGGCCCAGGTCCCTGTGGGACAGGGGTGTGGTGGCAGGGAGGGCCTTGCAGTGCTCGGTGGCCAATGGGAGGACAGCTGAGGCTGCAGCAACCAATAGGAGTATGGGGCTGCCTTGATGGGCATGGTGGGTGTTGGCTGAGCCAGGGGCTGTTGGAGCCGGAGGTGCTGAGGTGGTGGGCTTTGGTGTGAGAGTGGTGGGCCGTGGGGGGCCCTGCGGCAGGAGAGGTGTGAGGATGGAAGGCTCCGAGGGTGCTTGAGGCAGGAGAGGTGAGGGCAGTGGTCTCTGAGAGGGGAGGAGAGGTGTGAGGGCGGTGGGGCCCCGAGGGGGGAGAGGGGTGAGGGCGGTGGGCCCTGGAGGGTCTCAGGGGGCTGGTGGCCCCCCAGGCTGGCCTGGAGCATGGGGCCCGAGGACATGGAGGCAAGGGGGCTGGTGGTGGCTGAGGCCTCCTGTTGGAGGGGGAAACCAGTATGGTGAGGGTATCCTACACATGCCACACTGTTTGGGGAGGTGGTGCAGGGGCAGGAGCTGTGCTTGGAGGCACCTTCCTGTCACAAGCTTGAGAATGGGGGAGGGCTCAGGGCCTGCCTGGCACTCCCCGGCCTGCCCAGGAGCAACAAGTGCAGGGCTGGTGGGGGTGGCCGGGCAGCCACGTCCAGTGAGGGCTGCCCAGGGCTCAGCATTAGGAATCGGAGGCTTTTGCTGAAGTGTGATATGTCTGGGAGAGTGGGCAGCAAGAGGCAGAGTGCAGGCACAGGCCTCTCAAAGAGCACAGCTGGATGCCTTGAGCTTTTCCTTCTTGCAAACCCTTCTGGCCCCTGACTCATGACTGTACTTTCAGAATGGCAATACAGGGAGGTCAAAGGAAGCTCTGGGTACATTGTGTTGCCTTTAGAGATGGGCCCGGGCTATTCCACATTTCATTTACAAATCTGGTTGTTTGAATTTTTATTGCTGAAAGTTATTTCTTTCGTTTGTGGACTCCTCTTCCTCAAACCTCCATTGTGTGCCCCTTCTTTTGTCTTCACTGTCTGAAATCATAGGATTTACTTCTTATTACTTGTTCTTTAAAAGTTTTGGCTGCTTTCTTCAGATTCTAAACAGAAGCAATGTTTCCTCCCTAGTTTGTAGTTCAGCTGGTGCTTGTGAGCTTTTCCTGGGGGAGGAGGGGGGAAGGAGTAACTCCTGTCTTGAATGGCTACGCTAGGAAATCTTGAGAGCACTAAATCTTTTTCTCAGCCAAACAGTGACAAAAGCGTAAGTGGCTTCATGAAGTATTAGACAAGGTGATAGGCTTCAGCTTGGCATATTAAAATCAATAGTCTATATGTGATCCCCAGGGGTTGGAGAGGGCTGTGTTCTTACTCAGCACAGAGTAAGAAACTAGATTTTGCCCCTGGCCTTCAGATGACATCCTCAGCTAAATGGACTGTTGGTCTGTTCCAGGCCAGCCATTCCCATAGCTCTAGGAGCTACCACCTTTGTGCCATCTTTGTCGTTGGTGTCCACCTCTTTCCTCAGCTTTATTCCTGGCTGCAGCTGGTGGGCATATAGTGTGTTCCTGGCACTCCTCTGACAAGCCTGGTTTGGCTTGGTAGTGACTGGAAGAGCAAAGACTTGAGCCTCAAAGTGAAATGTTAAAACAACTGAAATAAGCCTCTTCCTGTAATCTTCCCTTGGGTGCTTTTTGGAGCAGGAGCAGCATGAGGAGCTCCACTTCTGAAGTTCTAAAACTCTGAAATGTTTAGGCTATTGATGGACTTCTGCTTGGATATTTCTGTAGCTCTTGCTGCAATTTGGACTGTGGCTTTGTAGGGTTTTTCAGGAACTTCAATGTATTCTGCATTTTGGTGTTGGTGATTTTATTGCTGAGTTTTCTTCAACTTGTCAGTCCTCGGGCAGACAGGTCATCTAAGTGGTGAGGTTAGGTTTTGGATTTCTTAATGTATGAATGGCCCCCACATGGGTTACTCTGCATTCAGGTTTTAACAGAAACTCTGTGTCAGGCAGGCGCAGATGCAATTCAGCTTTATGTTTATGCTGCTGCTGCTGGTGTCTCTCACTTTTCAGTCATATAAACTATTCATAGTAGTTTGGGAACTGATTTTTTTTTTCTTTTTTTTTTTTTTTCTTCAGTCTATCTGTTTGGGTTTTTTTTTCCCCAAAGGCCCTCAGTCCAGATGACCTTAATGTATCTACTAGGAAATGCTCTAATGGCAGAAGAAAGGTTGATGTGGTCTGGTGTAGGGTGCAATTGTACAGTCTCTTCTGGAAAACACCACATTGTTTTTGTTTAGAACCTCGTGTACAAAATATTTGGCTTGAGCACTTCTATAAGAGATAGAAGCTGTGTTGACCAAGGTGCTGTGTGAGTCTTGAGCTTGACGGAAAGTCAGTGAAGTACATATAGCCTGAGGCTTGCTGAAGCCAGTAGCAACTTCTGCAAACTGTGTGCTGTAAGAGGAGGTCTTGCTTTGCTGAACTCAGCCATGCTGTGCAAAAAAGGGAATAGTTGGTGGAGAAACATCTGTGTCTTAGAGATCAGAAAGCATGAGAACATAAGACTGCAAAGCTTAGCTCCCCATGCCTTTGAGGGAAGTACAGGAAACTGTGTGTTAGATTTTAGGCCTTTTAATTCTAAATTATTAAAGAAAGAAAGGGAGGGGGCAGTTGTTCTGCATGGATATGGAAATGACTCTGTCAAAGAAAGGGGACTGGCTGGTCTCAATCCTGGAATATGGAAGAAGTTACCATGTAATCATCAGTGTCTGGTAACAGGGATTTTATTGAATCTGTTAAGTCAGGGCCAGTAACAAAATACAGAGAACAAGCTGAGCATACACAACACACACTGAGCAAGGACTGAATTAACTGACCCATTAAAAACTGGATAACGTTTTTTCATGGGGTTTGCTCCATGACAGGTAGTATAAGACGAGCCTTTTTCATAAAGCATCTCTCTAGTGAGAAAAGTTTCAATGTCTAATCTCTTCCGTAAAGGATTTATTATGGAGTCATATGGAAAATTAATTGCTGTGCCAAAGGGATGGAGATTTATGCAAGTATTGCAAGATAGGTAAAAAACTGGTGAAAGGGAGAGTGTTTGTACTGCAGTGAAAACTGAGTTGGAGACAGGAGTCATGAGGCACATGTTACTTCTCATCCATGACCTTGGCATAAAAAGTAAGAGTATGCAGATGACAGATATTTGTGATGAAACCAGTCTGGGAAACATGAGCAATAACCTAAAGGAGGAGGAGGAGGGTGATAAATGTATTACACAAGATGATCTCTAAAACTTGTATGTACTTTTTTATAACAGTAGGGCAAGCACGTGCCTTTACTAAGTAATAGGCAGAATTTCTGTTGTGAACTGCGGTTCATCAGTTTGGAAAGAAAAACTAGCAGATGACTGGGTTACCGTAGGGGCGTGACTGGAGGACAAGTGTGATCTTGGCTTCAAGAGATGCTTCTTGCACAGTTGGGAAGTGTTGGTGCCATTATATGCAGTGCTTTGCACAATGAAAAAGTGGAACAAAGAAATGTCTTCTTTTAAGAAGGAGAAAAAAAAAAGGCCTGCCTGAAGCGCTTCCTTGGTAAAACCTAAGAAGTGATCAAGGGAGATGTGTTAAGGTGATGTGACATGGTTTAATAATTTTAAGCAATGGGAACACATCCAGAGAATAAGCTCCAGGGTTGAGGAGGAGGAATTATTGAATCTGAAGGATGATTTTGGCTTTCAAGCCTCTGAGCAACTTTGCATTAGGTGTGATGAGGGTAAGAAGCCTGGCTGGGCTGAAGGTAAAGCTTGATGAACGCAGGAAAGAAATTACTTAATGCCATTACCTGTTGTTTCAAGGTGTATGAGGAGGTTCCTTCCAGTCTGTGCTTTCTCTGCTACATGGCAAAATATTTGAATTGAAGCATTTTTCTCTCTCATCTGTTTGGCCTGCAGAAAACAGAATTCTTATATTGCTTTCTCTGTCACGACTTCCATGTGACCGCGTAAGAGAAACAAGATAAAATGTCTGAAGCCTAATGCTGCCAATATGAAAGTCTTTGTGCTCCCAGATGACAGCTTCCTAATTAAGTATTGCGTCTGATACAGGTGAATCTTATCTAAACCCTTGTTGTGACAGAGGAAGATGAAATTAAGCATGAAACTGATGGCTTATGCCATGGCTCAATTTAAATCTTACTTTACCTGAACAGAGCCAAGTTCAAAGCAGTGATTTTATTTTTTTGAAGTTGTGATAAAGCTGTAAATAATTGAGTCAAGTCAGTTCAGCCATGAAACTTCAGTTCTTTTACTTGATTGGGATTTGTCTGAGACTTGTCCTGAGTGCTGCTATGTTTTGGGAACAAGGAAATCACTGGTACACTAAGTGTAGTTCCTCACAGCTTTCTGATGGGACTTGCTGCCTTCTTTCTCTGTGGTTTGGCTATTCTTTCCTCATTTGCTGCCTGCTTTCTCCTGCTTTGTCTTGGCAGTGTCTCCTTCCATCACTGGTAGGTTGCAGCTATCCCTTGCTGCTGCATCCCGTGTAACTTGTCTCCACCTGTCTTGCCTAGGCTCTTGATAGCACCAGCCGAGTGATGCTTTTTACCTGGCTCCATGCTCTTCAATTTGGCTTTACCAAAATTAGGTGGCATATGCAGCATGTTCCAGCAGAGCATATTGGGGAATAAAAACAAGTCCTCAGGCAGACCTTGGCATTTTCATTCTGCCTTCCTTCATCAGCAAAGCTCATTACCTCAGTTCCAGCAGACCTCAGTCTAACGATCCAACACTGCTTCACCAGACAAAAGACATTTTGTGGTGCCAGATTGACTAGTGACATCCTGTGCAATGAGGTTTTTGCATCTACAACCTCCTTCTGGCAGGTTGGGATCGAGTGTACCTCGCTGTGGGTGCTCTGGAAATGATGTGTAGTATTTGTCACCTTCTCTGTTAAGGCTGTGGATGGTCTTTAGTTGAGGACAGTGGGTTTCACCTGTGCATTGTAAGCAGAGTGCTGTCTGCCTGTGTTTCTTTAATGGCACTTGGTTAGGGATGCTGTATGGTCTGACTTTTCACTTTCTTAGTCAGCCCAGTTGGTCCTAATGAGTCAGAAATGAGGCAGAGACAGGGTCTCCGGGCTTGAGCACTGGCAGGTGAGAATGCCATATTTCTCTGTGCTGGGCTTCTGAGGCTTAGACCTCTGCCTGTCTGTGCTGACCCAGCTTTAAAACAGGGCTGAGACTTCTGGCAGCCGGTTGGTTCATATTTAGGTCCTGAGACGCTGGTGATTTGTGTTGGTAGCTTTTCTTATTTCTGCTTTTTAAAGAGAAAACCTCAGTATGGAAAACTCCCCTACACTAATAACCAAAGACGCTAGATTCAACTGTTCTATTGCTACAGCTGTGAAAGAGAAGCATTGATCTCTCTTGTCCAAAAGCTTGAACTGAGGTCTGTTCCTGATACTGAAAACGCTTTCTCTTTTCTCCACAGGTTCAGTACTGTGGCTTGCTGTTTCGCCACGAGGGCTGGCCCCTGTGTATTCATGAGAAGATTGTAGTCCAGCTGGCTTCCATTGACTGGCGAATCTTAAAGCCTGGTGACTTCTACCTGCAGGTGGTCCCCTATCTGAAGAAGTCTCCACGAATTGTATTGAAATGTTTGGCAAAAGACAAGCATAATGTAGAGGAAGTCGTGATTCCAGAAGTTTCCTATACCTCTATTTTTACTCTGGAATGGTTGAGTACTATCAATGGAGAGCGGATGGGTATAGCACTGGAAAATTGTTTACTAACCACTGATGATAAAATATTTCGTGTCCCCTGGGATAAAGTGGTTAATCCTGAATTTATAAATAAACCAAAAATAATTGAAAACAGTATCATCTCTCCAGAAATAACAAAGGAACCTTCAATTTTGTACCTCCCCATGGACCATGCTGAGTGCAGTTCACCAGACCTAGGATCTCAGTATCTACAGGAACAAAGTTCAAATCGAGACAACCTGGTCATTAACAGCACAGCTCCGCAGTTGAGTGAAGCTCTTGTCAATGGTGTGTGTACAAGTCCTGTGCCTCAAGACAACTTGAAAAGTGACCTTGAAGGGGAGTACGTTGAGCTTACAGAAGTTTCGCTCCCCCGGTTTGGGCCACAAACGGACTCTTTAACCCAATCGCTAGCTTTAAGTTATCTAACTCAGCCCAGAGCACGAGTGAATGCGTCTAAAGGCAAGCACAGGTTTATTGTCATTCAAGACAGTACCTACTCCAAGAACTTAATTCAGTCGGCACTTATGCAGAAGGAGCACTGTCAAATGGACACTTTGAGGACTTCTTCACCAGAAGTTCTCAAAAATGTAATTCCATTGGAAAGCAACAAAATGATGGCACGTGGAGAACTGTCTCCAGAAGGTCAGCGGATGTCAGGTGGTCCTGGAAACATGGGGAATAGCTTTCCTGTGGCTGAGTCTTCTGCCTGCAGTGCACAAGATTCATCTGCAGAGCAGGAGACCTGCAGTGAACACTCAATCGACTGGCGATATGCGCTGTGCAGCTACAGCGACGTGTGTGCTAGTGATGGTGTCAACTGCAAAACACAAATGCCTGGTGCTCCTGGAAACATGGAAGGAGAAAGTGATGGTCCTAGCAGAAATCCTACTGTTGAAACATCAGAGCAGAGCCCAGAAACAATTCAGGATGCTGCTGCTGCTCCTGCTAAAGAGGAGGTGATACTGAGAGGACATGGAGGACCACTGACAGAGGGTCAAAATGAGGTGACACAGATGGATGCCTCACCTGTGTCTGTTCTGGAATCTTTGGGACCACATTGCACACTGAAGGAAGGTTCTGATGGTTCTTGCCAGAGTGTTGGTGAAAGTGTTGCGCTAGTCCAGGCCGCTACACTGCTTATCGCGCCTGAGAGTTCAGATGTAGGTGTGGAGAGAGGCTCTCCTTCTTCAGGGAACACGGCAGATGTAGGAGCAGTCGGTGCTTGCTGCAGTGATCAGGACCCAAATCTTAGTTCTCCATTAAGTCCTCCAGAACAGAACCAAGGAGGAGAATTTGAGCTGGGAAGAAGGGACAGCCCTGAGGAAGTCAAAGAGATTGAACAAATATTGACAGTAAACGAGAATCAGACTGGTCATAGTCACTGTTCTGTCAAAGATGGACTCTTGTCAGATGGTGAAGAGCAAGAGGTCTCTGCATGTCAGCGTGAAAACGCTGAAGAAGCCATACTACTCCAGACTGCTCTGTCAGCAGAGGGTGATCAGGCGGCAGAACAGTTAAATAACAGTGACTCTTTGATGGGCCTTGATACACAAACAGAAGGCTCAAGTCAATTCAGAACCCAGAGGTCTGGAGAGAGGTGTGAGGAACTACAAAGACAGGAAGAAAACCAGGGCTGCAAAAGTGAAGAGAACTCTGTGCTGAACCCAGAGCATGTTGCAGTACAGGACTTGCAGGGAGGGGAGGAAAACCAGGGAAGTTTTTCTTATGGGGAAAAGTCAAAGACTGTAGCCTTAAAAACACTGGAATCCATTGAAGAGGAACTGGAGGTTGGACCACTGTCCTCGGAACCCACTGAGGGGCATGCAGAGCCCACCGCTCTGCACTCCCACCAAGAGGCAGCTTCTGGGGCATCATCTCCTAAAGGTACAGCCATTGGATGTTTGTGTTTGTCTGTTTGATAACATGGATGGAAAGCAAAGTCCTTAAGAGGTGTACATCTGCTGGGCTGGGAGGCTTTGGGGTGATAGCACAAACTACAGGAAAGTGATTAGGTTGTCACGTTTGTAGCTTGAAATTAGCTTTCTCTTGACAGATGAGTTTATTGTATGTATATTGTTTAATGGTTCTTTGCAAATTTACATTGGTACAGAACAAAGTTCCGGTGTAAGAGAGTTTTAATTTCAGTTAATCTGATTGCTGGTGGCCTCCACCCATTACATTCATCGTGTGCACATTATGGATGCATGCAATAGGATTGTGTGAGAAGAGAATGTGTAACTGTACAAGTTGTTTGTAGTTGAAAATTGGCTTTAGGAAGATAGTTGTGGCAAGAGGAAGCCCCAGTGGATGCCACAGTAAAATACTAACTGTGTAACGTGACCTGAAGATCAACAAATATGTGTGCTGGTAACTGATTTAAGAAGCAAACTGCAGAGTCGAGGGATTCCCCCCTTCTTCCCTCCTGACCCCTCCGGCATGCTTTCTTCAGCTTTGTTATGTTTAAAGTAGGAGCTGTTTAATTCAAATGGGAGAGCACAGAGATATTAAGCATCTAAATTCAACTCAAACGGTATGTTCCAGTGGGTAGTGCCCAGACTTCTTGATTCCTGGGTTCCTGCACTGGAGCTGTGCTCCTTCAGAAGGAATTGAACAGGCAATCCAGGTCTCTCTGCCTGTTGCACAAGGCTGTAGGCAGGTGGTGTGTAACTGCAGGGACACGATGTTGACTTTGCCTAGCTCTGCTGAGTCTGGAAAGCTGTAGCTAGATATGCAGATCACATCGAGAAGCGTGTGTGGCGGGGGTGGGTGAAACATGCCATTCCAGTTCAACAGCTCTCATTCCCTGAGACCCCTGGCTAGGAAAATTACCTGGCTTGAAATATTACAGCGAGGACTCTTGAAAGGGTTGAAGGTACAGACCCATACTGCTAGAGCATGTCTGACCCTGTGGAGGAAGAGATTGAGAGCTGGTCTTTTTGGGACAGGCTGCCAGTGTCATGCTTCCCCTGGATCTGAATTGTGTGGGTAAGAGCCATACTCTGTTTGGCTGCAAACACAGGTACTCTCTCAAGTGTCCAAAAGTCACGTTTTACCTGATGCCTTAGTGTGATCTCCTAATGGAGCTAACGTGTCCGTTGATTAAAAGGAAATTTCATTAACGCCCACACCAGAATATTTTAATTCCATAATTAGGCAGGCCTGCAGTTGCCAGGCATGTCTGATACTTCTGGAGTGATGAGCAGTTCTATTCTGTGAAATGGAGGGGTCAGCTCAAAAGTTCCTGTTTCTGAAGTGTGTGTCTCCTTCAGCATCTACCACCATGAGCAGAAAAAGAGGTCACTTTCTGCCTATCTGCAGGTCTTGGGGGACACGTGCCAGTAAATAACCATGCTGTGGGTATCCGTTCCCCTGACCAGCCTGAATCTGGCTTGACTTCGTGTTTGCTAAGGACTGGCCCTCAGAAAACCGAGGCTGTGTTGAGTGCTGGGGGTATGCTGTCCTCATGACTCTAGTGGCTGCTTGTTTGGTGTTCCCATCTCTTCTGTCTAAAATTAGCCAGGTCCAGCTCGTACATGAGATAAGTGTGATGTTTTTGCTGCTCCACAGGATGAGTCTTGGCCGCTGCTATGGATTTCGGCAATGACAGACCCCTCTGGGGTACGTGTGGAGTTTGGCTTTAATCAAAGACAACTTAAATGTTTCTGGGGATTTGGTTGAAATAAGTGACATATTCACGGCCCATTTCTGATGATGTTAAACTTTGGCATTGCAGTTAAAAAAAAAAAAAAAAACCACAAAAAACCACCAACCTTTTATCCCAGAGTTTGTAAAGCAAAATAAACAACCTAAATCTCCAGAAACTGCCCCCAAACCAACAAACTAAACTCTTTGAGGCATAGGGCAGCTCAAATATCTTTTAGTGCCGGGAGTATTTCTTAAACACCATAGTTGGAACTGTAATAAGATAAATCCATTCAATTACATTTGATTGCTTTGAGATCCAAACAAGCCGTCCCCTTATCTAGGCCCATTAAACCCTCAGAGATACAATAATAAGATAATTCAGAGATAAAATTACAAAGCGAAGTGAATGTCCTACTCTGTCTTTCAAATGGACTTAGCTCTTCCAGCCGATTAGTCTGTGGGCAAGTTAAACTCTCTGTAACTGTCTCTTGTTGCGGTCAGTTTCCTACTATGATTGGAAACTGGGTATCTTGTCTAAACTATAAATAACAACAAAGCTTAAGTTTTACTGGGCCAATTCGGGTCTGCTGTTCACACCTCAGCAGTAGTGGGCAGGCGCATGATTTGCTCTATGTGAGGTGGAGGAGTTTGCTTGTTAGGGCAGACATTGTAGATTATGTCAAAATACACATTCAAATCTGGAGCATCTGACTTTGCCGTGTCTGTAGATATTTTTTTTTTTATTTTATTTTTTTTCCTTGTCCCTTAACACTCCTTCCTCCCACTCGCTATCACAAACTGAGCTTATTTTCTGCACAAATGTGGTGTAACTTAGAAAGATTTTGAGTCAAACGTGAGCTGTTTTGAGTTGGTGGCTTAAAATTCACGCTGGTTCCATTCACAGAAAATCTGACTGCTGTTTTTCCCTCGTGAATAGCTTTAAGTGAAAGTGAATTTTGAAACTTTGCAGCTCTGGAAACAATTCCTATATTTTGGGGGTGGAAAACATCTTGATATTCAAGATATTGGCTGAAAAGCCACACTGGGGCATATTCAGCAGCACCTGTTAGGGCGTTCCGTTCCTGCTGCCTGTTACTACGTGATGTTAGCATAGATGATACTGGTGCTGGGGCAGTTTGCAGGAAAAATGCTAATGTCTCTTTGAAATGCACACAAGCAAATCCTCCTCTACCACTTCCTTAACCTCGGGGAAGGGTGGAACCTGCAAACATGGCAAATTCAGATGTCCCAGTTCTCAATTTGCTTTTTGATGTGATCCTCCGCATTCTACAATTTCCGCTTTAGTAAGTGCCTCCACCCCGGATTGCAAATAACGAACAGTGTGCTTGGGCCTGTTCGGAGAGAGGTGGGGTCTGCAGATCTGAACCGAGCCCAAGAAGCTTGAGGAAGGAGGTTGGTTTGGGCAAGATGTACGTAGTCTGGAGCCTGCACAACTCCAGTGAGGTTTCCCTGGGGCTGAAAAGCTCCAGTACCAGGGCTGCGTCTGGCGGGCCGAGCAAAATGTTTCTGTCTTCTGGCTTTTGGGAACTGGTGCCTCGTTCCTAAGAGATGTATAGGGCAGGGCTGCCATGTACATTTATGTCTTTCTCTTGCCCTGGTATGGTACTTTCAATATAGCGACGTTCCCTTTCTTGTCTTCTTTAAATACCACCTTTTGGTCCTCTTTGCAGGTTTTCTTCTGTTAATGCATATTCCTTTACTACAAACTGCATGGTTCTGCTTACTGCCAGGCCTTACAGATCCTTGAGAAGACTTTCTCCTAGAAAGTCTGTCCCCCTTTAATGTTGGGGCATGACTTACCTCAAAGACCACCATGTCATGTATCCCATCTGTGGGAGATCTGTGCCTCTCTAAAATGCTGCTTCAGGAAGACCTAACAGCGTTGTCCAAAGCAAATGACTTCTTGCATCGCTGGAAAGCAGAGGCTGAGGTAGCGCTAGGAACAGAACTGAGCTCGGATGCGTCCCAGAACTGTG